ACAAATCATGACTGTCCATATGCCACTGCTCTTTTGTATCTGGCCTCGTTTGATTGCTGCAGACTATCTTTTTTTAGTTATTCATCAGTATTTTGATGCATTCTACTCCAATCCCAACTAACTTGTAACAAGTATATGGGATGTAGTCGTCTCGAGGCTCTACTTATATACGAAAATTAACTTGTAACAAGATCGCCATAAATAAGAGGGCTACCTTAACTAGTCTACGTATACAAAAATACACACGTACACACACAGAAATGTGTTAAGTGTCTTCTTTCAGAGTCCTAATATGACTTGAAAACAATAACCACAAACTGAGGGCGAGAAATTTCCCAATGTTTAGGCTCTAATGGCTGCCTTGTACGATGGCCTGCATGTACCAAATAAGTTGGCCAAGATTATTCTTGTTGTCTAGGTAATACGCCTGAATGAGTGTCAACTAGATGACCGTTGGCCGAAAGCTGTAGGGCCTCGATCGGTAGTTTCCAGAATCTTTCCATTTTAAAATGAAATTATAAAAACGAGTTTAAGGCACTCCATCCAATGCCATTTTTATATTTAGAAAGACCTTCTAGCATGCTTTCAATTTTCCCATTCCCTGTAGGGAGCGAGATGATCTGCTCCTTCGCGCAGAGCAAGACCGACAGCAGGCTCTCAATATCGCCGCAGAGGAGAGGTCTGGCTTGCAGGAGCGAGTGAATACTCTACAAGAGATGGTTGGTGGAAAAAGTTTTATTTGTTGTTCAAAAATGTACAATCACCCGCCAGATACTTTACTATTGAAAGATAAACTTCTACATTTATCGGTCTAAACCGCCAAATCGAATCTTTTGTCGTTCAGGTGACGCAACTGGAAATCACGTTGGACAGAGCACGTCACGAGGCAGCATTGCGCATGGAGCAGGATCGCGGTGTGATTGCAAATACAACCGACGAATTGCGGAGATTTCGAAATCAACTTGAGGAGACATGGCAAGATTTATTAAGATGTGTTATTTGTTGTGTATTATTAGTATTATTGCATATTACTTATATCATAATATTTATCACCCTTATTATTATTAGATAATGGTATTTTCCTCGAAAAGTATGCAAATTAATCTGGTAAAGCCAGGCTCAAAAACATGAGGTAGAGTCGTGATAGAGTAGTGATTTCTTTTAGCATATGTAAGGCTACTCTACAATTCTTGTAAGTTATTTGGCTCCTAGCCGGCAGCCGAAACACTATTTGCTGTACCTCTTCCACTCCGCAACAAGGATTAACGTCTTCTGATGGAATCTGCCCACCTGGCTATCTGATCATAATGTTCTAGATGCCTATTGTAGGAGTTAATAAGGAATAGATTTATGTCCAATATGATAGTTGGAGCATCAGTGGCTCCAGCAGAGGCTCTTAATTCTGGTCATCTTTCTAAAACTTATGTTCACTTAAAAGCAATTTACGCGAATTAGAGCGTACACTAACAGTTAGCAAATACATTAACAAAGCTTGTTCGTAAAATGTGGCCCGTTTTCTGCATGCTATTATGACATGCTAAATTCTACGTATTAAAAACTAAGATTAAATAATAGCAATAAAAATGAATGATTAGGCAAAATAGAAATAAACTTAGATGAATTTTAATAATTAGGAGGAACTTAGAAGTGAAAAAAACAAATATCACTAGATAATTGACGATTTCACGAAATTATATCTTATATATGTTTTTCCCTATATATTGAATTTTGTCGATAGAATATATTTCATTATGATAATATTTTTTTTAATATCATAAAAACGAAGGAGGATTGCTGTTTAATTTTGCGAATAAGTCCTCGGTTCACCGTCCTACGACCCCGATTAAACAGACATCATCAGAGCAGGTATCCATACTTCACGAAATAAAGCAAAACTATACTAAATCAAGAGAATAGGTGGCATTTTTGTACCCTGAACTAAGCGATTTTAATGAGGCATTTCATGATTTGATTGGCTAATTCAACCTTATTTTACATGCATGCAAATGAATGAAGTTACTTCCCAAACTGGAAGTACGTTTGGTGGCAGCTGTTTCCTTAAACCAATACACGATTGTACGATCCTCTAATGTTGAATCCTGTTTGGGCCTGTGCATTGTTTGTATGCATTATTTCTGTCATGGGAAGGGTGATAGTCCTTGCTAGACTCGAAGCTAATCCAGCCTCCTTTTCTTGTTCAGTGGGTCTTTCTGTACTCCCTCTTTCTCCCATTCTTTAAGCCTATCCAACAGCTACGAATAGTTGCTACTTAGTTTTATACACTCGATCCTCCTATCCACCATGTTGGTTGTTTTGTTAATCCTCATAGAAGGTTTAATGTGAAGTGGTTTTGTGTCCGCATAGTTTGTTCTGGATGGCTCGACAGGTAGCCACCGAATAGGCCTTACAATGGGAGGTGATCTACTGAGGAAGTAGAATATAAAAACAATGTATAAAGAGAAATTTACGCTTTCTTCAGCAGTTAGTTAGTTTAGAGAATTTTCAGATCATCTTTCTAGATCAGGCTGCTACAAGGTTTTGTGCTCATGTGGTAATGTCTATGTAGAGGAGACCTGCAGACCCATCCAGAAGAGGATGTGTGAACACAAAACCGCTTGCAAAGGTCTATTGGTCCAAGCATCTGAGTTCACTGTAGAATACATTCAATAGATTGGTGCAAAACGCAACGTTTTGCTGGTCACGAGGACTTGACGTCAAAGATTAAGATTAGGAAGTCTTTAGAAATTAACAAAACAGCCAACGTCTTGAATATAACGAACGAATTTGAGAAGTAAGTATGAGATATTCGTGGTTGTTGGATAGGCTTAAAGAGAGGGAAAGAGGACGAGTTCAGGAAGAGCCAATGAGCAAGAGAAGGAGGCAGGATTAGCTCCGAGGCTAGCTAGGACTATCACACTTGCCATGACATGAGCATTACATACACACATTAGACATTAGCACATTAGAGGATCGTTTATTTGTGTAAAGAAACAGCTGCTACCGAACGAACTTCCGGTTCGGGTGCTTTATTACAATCGCCAAGATGAAACAAGCGACCAGGGTTGTAGCCGGCTGTCTTTTCTTTTGGTTTAGTATATTTTTGATTTAGTTCGTGAATAATGGATACCTTTTCTGATGATGTATGTCACTGTGCAGACGAATGCTTAGCACATGTTGATTAGTATCGCAGGACGATAAACCGATGATTTCATCACACAATTTAACTGTCTTTCCTACGCGACAATCCTCCTTCGTGTTACGGTGACACCACATTACGATTTTTTTCCTACCAACTTCCCCTTCGAAATGGAGAGCCAGCTCACCATGTATTACTAAGGAATTCTTCGAAATCCAGTTTTTATTCATATTTTTAATGATTTCACCACTTCTGAACAAAGATCTAGAAGAAATGCATTTAGCTAAATGGGTTCTTAGTGGCATTTATAAGGTACTGGAAGATCACGTTAGTACAATGGCATAGACTAGATTCTTATAATTCTCCTTATTAACCGGACTAAATAGCGAAAACTCAATCAGGCCAAGTCTATGTCAAACGTATCGATTTATTCAGAGAGAATCATTCCGAATTTCTTACAATAATTGATCCTACAGATCATACTTCTTTGAGTGGTTTATTTTCTGGATGTAACCTGAACTTCGAAGGTATGAAGACCAAGATGGTGTGACCTTTTGTGTGGTCGCAGTCTCCTTTCGTTGTATGAAAATTGTTTGACCTTGTTTTTCCAACATGGTCATATTGGCAGGAAGACTT